GGTGGCTGTCGTGCTGAGTGGTTAGGAGCGTGGGCTCTGGGGTTGGGCGGCCTGGATTCAAGAGTCTCACCATTGCTATTTACTACCTGCATCTGCGTGTTTAAGTTACTGAACCTCTCTGAGCCTCTTCACTATGTATAAAATACAAATAATTCCTACCTTGTAGGTCTGTTGCACAGATTAAATGAACTAGGGCTTGTAAAATGCTTGAAATGTGCTAAGCATCCAGTAGATGTTATTATATAGTTACTACTATTAACACCACCCATGCAGAATCTAGTTCCCTTAGCTTTATAGATTCAGAAATTTAATCTCATTATGGGGTGATCCAGCTCAGATGATACTGTTTCACATTAGCCAGACTTACAAGAGGCCAGGAAACCAAATAGTTTATTTACATCGGAGACGGTTTTCCAATGCTATACACATTTGCTATGCACCCTTCTCAAGAGTGAAATACCTGGCGTACATACAACAAAGGCAAAGGGTGGGGCTCTTGGGTGGAATACATTTCCAGACTGTGATGGAACAGGAGTCCCTGATTCATCATAGAACAGTCACTATAACTGAGATCAGAACACCCAAGGCCACCCTATAGGACATCTTGCATACTAGCTGTAAGCTGGGATAACGTGTGCCTTGCCTGACTCACAAAGCAGTCATTCAGAATGTACTTGCTAAATAAATGACTTCCTTGGGCAGGGCAGGTTTACCGTCCTCAAATTCTCATCCCTTTTCTCTCCCTTTCTGGATTCTAGGCAAACTGACACCTTTCTTCCTCGGGCAGGATACTATTCATTCGGTAACAGCTTTTTATGGCAGCTGTGTTTTATTCTTTCGGATGGAGACATTGTAATGAATTGCAGGAAATACTGCATGCTCATCAATAATGTGTTTACTTATCTTCTGGCACCCCTTCCCTGCTTCTCATCTGTATTCTATGTAACTGACATCCCCCTGCATGCTGCAAACATTAACATTAACAATGTCAATTACGACGCCATGTGCGCAGAGATACTCTCTCCGCTGTCTGGGGCACTGGTAACTCTCTCCCCCTGGACAGAGGTGGAAGACAGCCCATCTTCCTCTGGGAAGGTGATTATCCTCTGATAGGTTTGTTGATTTTTGTTTTGTTTTGTTTTTTTCTCCCTGCATGAAATTGAGCATTGCCCTAAACAATTTTAGTTTGCAGCTCCTCAGACAACTAATGAGGTGGTCAGGTCTGTAGGTTTCCCTCTAGACTTAGTGAGATTCCCCTCAAAGGACAAACCCACCTCCTCTGAGCAGTTCCCCAGGCAAAGGCACTGGCTAGGACAAAAAGAAGGGAGAGCCCGCTCACCCCTATCTTTGAAGCTCAAGGGAATGCTTGCCTTGGCCTGGCCAAAGGCTGGTGGGCTCTGGCGTGCAGCAAGGACAGAAGCAGCCGCCTTGTTTTCCCCACCTGGATGAAGCTGGCAGAACTCCCATTGTTCCCTAACCCGACTCCATCTCATAGCCCTCGAAGAAAATGCCTGATCTCTTTCCTTTCCCAAAAAGTTTGAAGAAATCGACAAGGAAAGGATTCAAAATTTCAATCCAGAGCTGCTTTATTTCTTGCCCACCCCTCTGGGAATCCTAAGACTTAACCTCCGTAACTGCTGACTTGGCTACGGAAGTGCTCCCCACCCCGTCCCCCCAATCATTTGATTCTCTTCCAACAAATCGCTCCTGCTGGATAATTTCCTTAAGGGGTTTCAGGGGGGCAGGAATGGCATGGCTTCCTTGGAGAGCCTTGCAGGATCTTACTGAGATTGCTCCCATGAGTTCCACCAGGGTACTGCTAGGTATCTGAGTCTTCTGTCTCTCTATGTCTCTCTACGTCCTCTCCTGAACCGTTTCCACAAGTTGTAACCTGGCATGCCTGTTCTTAGAGCCAGAAATATGACAAATATTCAGATAAGCCAATGGAATTTAAAGCACAGGTCCGTTGCTCCGCTGGCGAAGACTCTGGGGAATGCTTTGTAAATTAGGCGTGCCTCTCTCCAAAGTGCACACAGCTCAAATCCAGCACCTGGCTCTGTACCAAGCATTCAGGAGGTGCTGGATTACCATTTGGGGAATGAATTAATGAATCCTATTTTAATGTACTGTGACATCTTCATTCTTATAGGAATATTATGGCAGGTATATAACAAGGACTTTTTATACCTTTAAAATATATTTTTAAAGACTTTATCCATTTATTTGAGGGAGAGAGAAACAGAGATAGAGAACAAGCGGGGAGGAGAGGGAGAGCAGCCTCCTTGCCAAGCAGGGAGCCTGACGCGGGGCTCAAAGCCAGGACCCTGAGATCACAAACCGAGCTGAAGACAGACGCTCAACTGATTGAGCCAGCCGGGTGCCCCAAATTTTGGGGTTCATGTGTAAGGAGCTTAAAGTGACATTGACCTTTAATTTCAAGTGCAACCTTTAGTTTTTACGCGGCTTTGTAATGTACTAAAAAGAGCTTGGGGTTTGGAATTAGTTAGACCCATTTTTTGAATCCCAGTTCTGGCATATTCTGAAGATGATGTATAATTTAAGGAGCTGTAATGATTAAATGAGGGAACTGTGACTTCATAGCACATGGTGGGGATGGAAATGGGAGCAAGGGGTATCCTCCCTACTTGGCCAGACCACTCACCGTCATGCCAAGGTTTGGGGTCTTTATAATTCTCTGGTCTAGAGTGATTCATGGACCACGCGTGTCAGAGGCCAGAGAAAGAGAAGGGGCTGCATCCCTCTGCTCAGTCAGTGTTCTGCCTTATTCACCATGTCCCGACTTCACCTTCTCACGCTTGGTTACTTCTTAAAAATGTGCTTTTTCTCCGTTAAATGCTATTTTGGATCTCATACATCAGTGTAAAGGATAGACCTCCCTCACAAAGACTCTTAACGGACCTGGTGTTTATCAAATGCTCGGTGCAACAAAAACTCTTAGCAACTCCTGAGAACCTCAGGGCCTCCGAAACTGACTGCCAAGAGTTTCGGGGAAATCACAGGGAAATTTGTTCACCGCATGATTAATCCTGGGTGGACTGGTCCCGGAAAATCACATGTGGGTTTGCAGCAAGCGACCCCATGAAGAATTTTACAAAACAAACCAACTAGCAGACAGGCCCCGAAGTCCATGTTTTGGATGGAAATTCAGAGCGAGGGCGGGGCCTGACAATTGAGGAAAATGCCAGATGTACGGATAACAGAGCTCCTTTGAATCCACTCAGTTTCAAAGAGAAGACACATGGGACCAGATTACAAAACTGAACCAGATTATACACTAGATGAGGGAAAGCCAGTGGGGAGCAGAATCCTGTGAGAAGGATAATAAAATTCATCACCATAATTACCCCCAGCCTCAGAGGCCACAATAGCTCAGCTCAATGAAGTTATTCATCCATATTCCCTGCGCTTCAGTCATTATCCTCAGACAAAACCCTTCCTGGGCCTCAGCTGCTTGCCGGCAGCCCCACAACTCAGCATCCACACGCAGCCAGCCCCCCACACAGTCCGGGAAGGTGGGTTAGGGAAGGGGGGCTGGTTCTCTCTTTAGCAGGGCAGTTTCTAGTACCAACTAGTGGCTGGTGATTTTTTTTTTTCCAGACCAGATTTATAGATGCTTAAGTCAGTTTCAGCCCTCCCGCCAACCACTCGGTTTAGGGTACCTCTGACTTTCAAAAACTTTGGCTTAAAGGTAATTACAGCCAACCCTTTCTGAGGAGGAAACAGAGGATGCTGCCCAGCTGCTTCTGCCTTTCCTTAGCTGAACTGGGATGTGGCTCCGTTTGGGGTCTCCCACACCTTGCCCTGGGCAGCACAGAATGGTGTCATTTGCATACTGTCTCACCAAAAGGGAAATGTAAGTGAAGTGCAGAGCTGTGTGGATTCCAGTGGAAAGAGAAGTTCCAAAGATAGGACTGCCACGAATAGCCCATGGCCCTGTAAAGATAGTTGCTCAAGTCCCTCTGAAGCCCACAGCCGGGCAGAGACTCGTACACCCTGTATAATTTCCCCAGGGCTGGATATTATTGTCTGCATATGGAATTATAAATGCCTGGGTCAGGTCTACCCCTCCTGCAAATCACTCCCTCCAAGGAGGATTTTTCTGGTACTCGACCCACCTCCATCCTCAATTTGGAAAATGCAGGAGTTTCCCTTTCAGCAACCTCCAACTCCAAAGATCACTAGTGGGCTTACAGTTCCTGCGATCCATATTTAGTGAGCAAGTACTATGCGCCGGATTTTTTTTTTGGCCCTGGGGATCAAGGCTAAGACAGAGCTCTGTTCTTGGGAGCTTATATTCTGTTGGGGAAACAGATAAAAATAAAAGCCCAAGAAAAATCAAATGTTGACGGCACAGCACAGCAGACAGCAAAAGGAAGCAGATTGGGAAGGGGAGGTAGGAGCAAGAGGGGCAAAGGGGCAGGGAGGCCTCCAGGGAGGATAACGGAGGCCTCTTCCAAACCATCCCGTTGATAGGGCCCTGAGGGTGTCGCTGCATAGGGGAGTCCTCCCCACCCCAGCACTGCTGAAGGTCCCCCCCCCGCCCCCGTATATGGGGCCAACTTCTTCTGAGGCCATCTGCATTCCTCCAATACACAGCCCCATAGGAAAGCCCAGTCCAGCCAGTGGAAGACTCCTTGCTTCTATCCTTCTACCCTCTCTCTCATGAGCTGAGCAGAGGGTTGCAGGAGGTGGGCTGCCCCAGAGGGAGGCCCCCTCTGCTCCCCACCTTTGCTGCCTGTGGATCCGATGCGGGGGGGCTCCTCCTCCCACCCTGCTCAGCCATTGCTTTGGGACGCAGCACCAGCTAAGCCACTGTCTCTCCTTCTCCGGGTCCTCCGGACTCGCGGGCTCGCACACACGCCCAGCTCCCCTCGGCTCTCCCGGGCAACTTCAAATACCAGGCCCAGGCATTCCAGCAAGTCTGAGCTCGCTAGTCCTCACCAGCAGTGGTGGCAGGCAGCCATTCTGCTGGGTCTTACCTCCTTCTGCCGGGTCCCAGAGCCACGCGCTTCCCAAAACCAAGAGCAGAACTGGCACCTTCCACATCTTCTCGGTTGACTTGTTTTCTTTGGGGCCTAGCAACTGGTTTCTGTGCTGGGGGAAGATGAAAGAGCTCTGCAGCCAGAGGACCTTGCCCAGTGGAGCCGGAGAACAGGGGCTGGAATTCAGGGAGCAAAAAAGCCCCAGCGTAGGAGAGATCCCCAAGCTTCCTTCTCCCGCGGAGACTGAGGAGCAAACTTTGCAGTAGGAAACTTTGCGAGGAGTCAGCATTTATCTCTCCCGACGAGGGCGGGGAGCCGCTGGTCCTAAGGTGGTCTCAGTCCGGGGCTCACTAGGACCGCCCTCTGCCTCTGTTTGGCTAGCGCTAAAACGATGACCTCAGGCCAGGTTTAAAGTTACAGGGCCACAGCTGCAGGGCTGCCCGGGGGACGTCTGGAGAGCCCTGAGCCCCAATAGGGGGGAAAGGGGGAGCATGCAGTGAGCAATTTATTTATTTATTTTTAAATATTTTACTTTATGATTCTGGGTTTTTTAAAGAGTAAGGCACACGCCTATTTTATTTTATTTTATTTATTTTTCTGTTAGAAGTAAACTCTTCCTTCTGTAGCCAGTAATTTTAGAACTGAGCCTGGGATTATTCTTGTAAATATTGAATTTGATGTCTTTTTTTTAAAAAAAAGTGGCTGTCCTCATCTGGGTGGGCCCGGGGCGGATGGGGCTGGTAAATTGTTCCCTTGTCTGGAGGACCCGTGCAGGCGGGCTCTGGAGTGGGGGGGTGCCTAGAGAGCTGGGGGGGGAGGGTAGTCTGGAGGACTCCCTGGTTCTGGCAGTTTTAGAAAAAAGGCCGTTGGAGATCTGCTTCTCCTCACTTTGGATGCAGTGCTGTGGTGCTGGATGGACGAACAGACGGATGGGAGCACCCAGTGAGGTGCTGTAGCCCAGGAATGTCCAGGGAAACCCCGCACTCTCCCGTCACCAAACCTATGTTCACTTCCAGGGGCTCTCATCTCTTTTAATCCTGGAATGTGGCCCCATAATCCCCGCTTTACTGGTTTAAGCAATCTTGCCCTGATCTCAGGTACTGGGTGTTAGCAACAGGCAAACCTGTGGTTTTTTTACTTTCCTTCTGAACTGTTGGAATTTTCTTAAAAAGAAACATTTTTTTAAAGATTTTATTTATTTATTTGACAGAGAACGAGAGCCCACAAGCAGGGGGAGCGGCAGAAGGAGAGGGAGAAGCAGGCTCCCCGCTGAGCAGGGAGCCCGATGGTGGGGTGCTTGATCCCAGGAGCTCTGGATCATAACCTGCACCGAAGGCAGACACTCAACCCAGGTGCCCCAAAGAGAAAATTTTTTAAGAAGAGGAGATGGGGACATGGCCTCTGCCTCTTCCCAGATGCCACAAATACCATTCAACAGAAAGAAACTGCAGATGCCCCAAAGCTCCTGACTGGCATGAAAATTGGTTATTTTCAGATCCTCATCCCAGACCCTGATTCTGAATCTATTTTGTCATTAGAATCACAAGGTGTTGGTTGCTTTAAAAGCTCCGATTCCTGGGCTCCACCCCCAACTCCTTAAATCAGGCCCTGTGGAAATTTACATATGAAGCCACTGTTGCAGGAGAACTTGTCCACAGGGCTATTTAATAAACCACGTCTTCTGGCCTCGCTTCTCAAACAGTGTGTGAAACGCTGCAGTGTGGTTAAATGCAGGTGGGCTTCTGTGGGTCTGGGGTGGGGAGATTCCTCATTTCTTAAAGATCTGGACAATGTCTTATCCTGGGGCTACAAGATAGGAGTTGATACCTGACCTAAAGAGAGGAAAGGGACCCTAAGGTCAAGGGGTTAGAAGTGTAAAGATAAGAGAGAGAGAGAAGATAATCAGACTGCCTCCCCCATCTTTTAGTAGCTTATTATTACTGCATTATCAGGAATGTTTGTTTATAGACTGAATGATACATGTATCATCTGTCCAGACTGTTAGATGGAGAAAAGATGCAAATCAACTCTAAAGTAAAAAAAAAAAAAAGATTGAATAAAAGAAAGAAAAAGACCATCTTCATTTGGAAACAGGGATGAAATGAAGCCTGAGTGGGAGAGAACAGGTTAAAATCAGCTAATCTGGAGTGGTGCTTGGGGCTAGGTTGTTACTCAAGGATATGCCCTTCTCCCCATCCCCACAGCCATGCACCTGCCAAGGGATGAGTCTAGATTCCACAAGGTTTATTACTTGACCTCTCTGGTAGAGGATCGAGGAGGGGGAGGGAATAGGGAGTTGCATCCTGTTGGAGACCATCCTGGGGAGGGGGAGAGCGTCAGGACCAAGGGAATCTATGGACATGGTCTAGATGCTGTTGGTTCAAGTAATGGGAGAGTGGCTGGGGAAACCTAGTGGAGGGACCTTCCTCAGGAATGCAAACAGCAGAGGAGAGAGAGGTGATGCTGGTCTTGGGCATAGGGGTAGGAGCCGGGGTGCATCTGAGTGACTCAAGGTTAAGCTAAAGACGATTCGCTAAAGCGTAATGGGTTTAGAAGCCTGAGACCAGCCCAAATGAGGAGAAGAAGGAAACAAGTAGAGTACATGCCAGAAGATTCCTCCATTCTTTGAAATAATTTGGGCCCCCAAAACAGTGACTGGTAAGGTAATAGTGACATCTATCCTGTTCACTGGTAACTCTAACACTATCTCACTGAATCTTCAAAATAATCCTTGGGGTAAGAACACTGATAAAACCCATTTTGTATATTAAGGAAACAGGTTCCCTAAGTGGTTTCCAAAGCAAATGTGTACCAAATTTGTGTGGAGGACTGGCTGGTTAGAATTAAGACCCCGGGGGGCTCCTGGCCGGTTCATTCGGTGGAACATGAGACTCTTGATCTCAGGGTCCTGAGTTCGAGTGCTACAGTGGGCATAGAGCTTCTTTAAAAAAAATTTTTTTTTTAATTATGACACTGGGGCACCTGGGTGGCTCAGTCACTTGAGCGTCTGCCTTTGGCTTGGGTCGTGATCCCGGGTTCTGGGATCCCGCATCTGGCTCTGTGCTCACCAGGGAGCTTGCTTCTCTACCTACTTGTGCACTCTCTCTCTCTGTGTCAAAAAATAAATTAAAAAATAAATAAATAAATTATGACACTGATCTGGGCCCCCCTCTTGAGCTTCTGATTGTAGGTCAAGAGTAGGGCCCGATAATTTGCGTTTCTAACAAGTTCCCAGGTGACATACTGGCCCCAGGGTCCCCCTTGGAGAGCCACTGGTTTAGAGATAATGCAAATAGTCCAGGGTCATCTGAAGCGAGTGGCGGGACCACTGTCCCTCTATTGCACCATTGGAGCCTGTTGATAGGGCTGTGTCTTGCTTAAGGATCTAGAGGGAGAGGTCTGTAAGTTGCTTTTGGGGAGCAGGAAGCCCCCTGAGGGTGGGGGACCAGGCTGCAGTAGAAGATGCAGAGCCAGAGCACCCAACCTGAGACCCTTCATCCTGAGGAATGCTGGAGAGTAGATGTCGGGATCTCTCATTCCCCCTGCCTGCTCTGTGGCTCCTGCACAGTCCAAGAGCTGCCCCACCCTGCCCGGGAAGGCTTCTCAAGCATCTTCTCTTGCTTCTCAACACACACTTCTCCAGAGCTGAGATACCGCCTCAGATGGCATCTGATGTCAAAGGCGCCTCTGTGACTCAGGAATAAATCATGCACTTGGGTGTACAAGCTGGGTCCAAAATGTATTTAGCAGGAATGAGGAGATGAGTGATGGGGGTGGGGAAGGCAGGTGGGGAGTGGTGTGGGACTGTGAACTCACAGCCGCTTGGTTTGCCGGAAGGAGCCTCAGTGTTTTAGAATCAAAATTCAGCTCCATGGTGGCCTCGGGCAATACAAGTCTCAGTTTCTGCTTCTTTAAAATGGGGATACTGCTACTTTGGAGGGCTCTATGTACAACCAGCAGCGTAACTGCTATGATTGCTCTGATGGTTGTTTCGGCCAGGCCCTGCCCGGTTCTCAGCCTCTTGAATCCTCCAGGGCCCACCTGTGCCCCCCTGTCCCCACCGGAACATTCAGCCAGCCCTTCCGTCTAAGGTTCTTGACATGGGCCCAATGGAACTGGTTCCTCTCTGCCTTAGGACACCCAGCTGGACCAGTACGTGAGGACTTGGCATCAGCTCGTCCTCTGTTAGGTCCAGCCCTCACCTTGGGCCTTATTCCTAAGAGCCCTCCAGGATCCCTGTCCAGGGTCCCAGGAGGACCCCTCTGGGAAGCCGGGTTATGTCCCAGTTCCATCCGGGAACTAGTGTTCGGCACCGGGACCCTACCTGGAGGCTTGATCCTGCCATTCCTAAAATGATGGGGAGCTGGCTTGGATTTCTATTTGCCAAAGCTCTCCCAGGGGCCTCCCCAGTGCTGACTGCCCCTTCCAATGGTCAGAATCAAACCCATGCCCTATTTCAGTGGGGTGCACACAATTTTGCTTGTGGACCCCCAAAGAGAATTTTGAGAAACTAGGTACCAGTCATTTTTAATCACAGAGTTAAATAAGTATATGCTTAGCAGGAGGTAGAACACATTAAATACTTTATAAAAAGAAATAAGGTGAAGACTGACTGAAATGGGAAAAAAAAACTCCTTAACATTGAATAAGTGCTGACCATGAAAAAATTATATGAAAATTTTATCCATGAATTTTAATACACACATTTCGACATTTTTTGATAAAAGATTTGGAAAACTTTCCAGTTACACTTAAAAGAGTCAGCATCACTAACAGATATTTTTTTTATTCTTTTTATTTATTTATTAAAAAATTTTTTGATGTGAACTCTACAACCAACATGGGGTTTGAACTTACAACCCCAAGATCAAGAGTCTCATGCTCTATCGACTGAGCCAACCAGGCACCCCCAGATATTCTTTTTTTTTAAATGGTGTGCATTTATCAATTTTTCATTATAAAAATATGTATTCATTAGAAATGTGGAAACCAGGAAAATAGAAAATTTATTGTATGTCCAGATTTCCTTGTGTGTTTGCAAATTTTCTTTTGACATAATTTCAGATTTATCTAGATTACCACTTCGTTTCTGTTTTGCCCAATTTGCTTCTTTGTTATCTCTGTATCTAAAACGTTTGCATGTTGGTTTTGATCTGAATCACTTGAGAGTAATGGAGATTATGCCCTCTAGCCCTAAACACTTGGGTGTGAATTCCCTAAAGACAAAGACCTTGTCTTTTGTAGCTGCAGTAGGATTAGCCAAGGCACACAATTTAATATGAATACAACACGATTATCCAATCCACAGTCCATATTCAAATTTTGACAGCTGCTCCAATTGTATCCTTTACAGACTTTTTTTTCCAGAATCAAATCCAAGGCCACACATTGCACTTGGCTGTCATGTCCCCAGAAGACGTGGGAACACTGCCTTTCTTTGTCTTTCTTGAGCTTGATGCTTTCCGAAGACGACAGGCTAGTTATCTTGAAGAATGTCCTTCAGTCTGGGTTTGTCTGATCTTTCCTCGTGATTAGATTTAGGGATGCATTTTGGATGGAGGACGGCAGAAATGACCTGTGTTTTTTCAGTGCTTCACGGAAGAGGCCCAGAATGGCAGTTCCCAACGCGGGCGAGTGTTAATTTTGATCCCGCCCCCCCGCCCAGGGCATTCTGATCCTGAGTTTAGGACAAGCCAACCTGGGCCATGCTCCACCCTTAACAGGATGTATGCAAAAACAGGGAAAACCAGTGTATACCCTGGCCCCCCTTCCCCCACCCCGGGCTAAAGAGGATTTCTTTTCACTCCAGAAAATGCTCCATAATAAAACTTGAGATTGCATAAGGAGCTGCCTTTCTTTTGTAAACAGGAGGGGGGCTATTTGTGAAGAAGCTGATTCATCTGTCCCTGCAGTTTTAGAGGAACATTTATGGATGTTGAGGATTTGAGAAATCCCTCCCTTGCTGGCATGCTTCTGGGGAAATCTGTGTGTGTCCCCAATTTGAAGACCCTGCCCTGTCCCTCTGCCTGGCTGGACCCCCTCCCAGCATTAGGACCACCCCAACCCATCCTGCTCTAAAGGATTGAGCCCAATGTCTTCTAAGCGATGGTGCCCCCCCCCACCCCCTTTGAGGCTATCTTGAGCTCCCCGAAGCCAGGAGCTTACTAATCCATTCATCTTTGTAGCCCTTGCCTCTGGTTTGTGCTTCATAAATTGTTGCAAAAGGAGAGATTTTATCTGGCCTGTTGGAAGATCCTCACCATCCAGGACACACACACACCCTGCCGCGGCCCGGCCCAGCCCAGAGACTGAGTCAATGGCACATGATACACCACAGGCCAGCCCGTCTATGCAAAGACAAAACCAAAAGCAGGTCTTGGGCGTCCAGGGGACTGGATTCTTAGAATTTGCCAGGAAGGAAAGAGCCTTGGGATGCTAAAGACATGTTTTACCCATTTCATCATTTTATTTGGTCAAGCAGCACTCGAGATTCATGCTGTCGCTCATGCTGTCATCATAGCTCATTGACTCACTCAGGAAACACTGGTGTGCACGGCCTGCCCAGCGCTGCCTTTGGTACCCACGGGGTGTGGCACGCCGGTGACATCTCCTGGGTTTGGCTGGAGCTGGCTGTCCTCTGGCCGACAGACACCACACGCCATCAGCCCCCCCAGGGCCAGAGGTCCACGTTCACCCCTTATTTTGGTACGGGAGCATTGATTCTTCACTGCTGAGGTGGGACCCTTTGCCTTCTGGGGACAAGGAACCAGGTGTGTTGTTCCGTTTTTCACTGGTCTGTTAAAAACATCAGGCGTGTGCTAGAAGCAATAAGGAAAACATTCAACTCTGTGGATCAACAAGTTTCTGTGCTCTCTGTCATCCTGGGGAAGCCTTGGGCCTACCTCCTGGCTGCAGGGTGAGGTCCACAGATGCTGGGAGAACTCAGAGCTCTACCCTGGCCAAGGGTGTGAACATCCCCTTCCCCGGGGAGGTGAAACGCCCCGTTTCATAGACTAAATCTGATGTTGCTTCCCTAGGGCACCAAAGAAACACAGAAAGAACTCACTCAGGCCACTGGGAATTTTTTTCCCCCACAACAACAAATTGCTTATTTACATACTACCCACCCCCCACACGCCAAACAAAGAAAAAAATGGTTGAATCCACCAGTCAATTTGAATTCTGGTATTTGGGATGGTTGGGAGGAGAGGGTCACCGATGACTTTTATGGGTTGGGAGCATAGTCGCTTTTTTGTTTGTTTTGTGTTTTGTTTTGTTTTATTTGGTCTTTTTTTTTAATCAACACTGAGTTTTTAATGGACAGACAACCATTGGGGAGGAGGGAGGGCGAAGTTTTTTGCAATTCTGACCGATACACACAGAAAGCTCCTTTCATTGGTGTGTTCAGAGAGCCCTTCATTATGGAGACTCAGCACTGCTTGGAAAACAATCTGAATGAATGCGTCTCAGTGTGGGAGGCTGTGAAGTCGAGTAGGGACAGGGCTGGGAGGCTGGTGTTTATCTTATTGCTCTCTTGAACGCTGGTGGCCTTGAGGACATCCAGCTCCCGCTTTCTCTCGCTCAGTGTCCCTGAGTGGAAACCGAAGCTGGGCTTGTGCAAATGTTGGTGATGAGGTCCCTGGGTGTCAGTGAGATCACTGACCTGTGAGGCATTGTGTGCTGAAGGCTTGAGCAACCCCCTCCTGCGTCCCACCAGCTCCTGCTTGCATGCTAAGGGCAATGACAGCAAACCCCCAACCACAGACCTTGTGCTGCCCCAACCTGGAATTCCCTGCCCAGAACCGCTAGTGCCCTGCCCAAAGATGAGACCAAGAGGCCCAGAAGATGAGCCTCCCCCTCCCCCACCACCTCCCTCCAATAGGTACCATCCCTATGGCACAGCCTGGATTTCGTTGGTATTTTGAAATCTTTTGTTGAGGTCCCAAATGGGTCTTAATCACCGTTCAGGAATCTAATTAAAAAAATTCAGACATTAGTGTCTGCCAAGAGGTGGGTTTGGCCATGATAGGAAAACAGGAAAAGGCTTAAAACTTAATCAGATGGGAAGAAAACAGCTTTAATGTCAGCAGTCCAATATCCAGAGCCCCTGCCCCCCACCCTGTCCTCAACTGCCTTCCGACAGAGCAAGGACTCTCCTTGTATTGGTGCAGCGTATTACCGGGCGTCCCGAAGTGGGTGAGAAGCACAAGACAGTTTCTGGGAGATGTTATTAGAGGGATTTAACTGCTTTCCTTAGCAGAGCTAGGGAACCTGATCACCTTTTTATTACTGGCACCAATAGCAGGCAGTTACAATACAGATGATGGATTCTTTCGTTCAACAACTATCCATGGGACATCCGACTGTGTACCAGGCATTGTCCTGGGCTCCAGGGACATGGCAGGGTGCAAGGCAACCAGGTGGCCGTTTCTGAGCCTCTTACATTCTGTGGGGGAGACGGATGATAGGTACAGAAGTAAATGAGGTATGTAGAGGTTGTGGGAAGGGTTATAAAAAAACAGTAAAAGAAGTCAGTGGAACAGAGCACCAATCTTGCAAGTGGGGTTGCACACTACTGGAGTGGTGCTGACCCTCAGGTGACACACACAGGCAGTAAAATTCAAAGAACGTCAATTTTCAAATTCTCATCTCATGTGTGTTCTCTTGGCTAACGTGGCTCAACTGCCCTGTTCATCATTTTTCTTCCCCTTTCCTATATAAAGACAGATCTCTTAATCACCCCTAATTGTACAATGGTGCACTATGTATGGGCTTTAGAACCCCTCTAAGGGCGAAGAGGTGACGCTTCAAAACGGTGGTGTATGCAAAGTACCAGAAACCCCACAGGAGAGCTTTATGTCTTTTTTGTCATACGGATATTTCTGTGAAATGTGAAATCTAGCTTTGGAACTGGGGCATTTGGACCCAGGTTGGGTTATTCTGAATTCAGTTATTGAGAACGATGACAATTTGATTGTATGACCTGGCCTCTTCCATACCTTGGCTCTTGACCTAGATGCATGGCTCTGAGGGAGGGCTCTGGGAGAGCCAAGCAAAGAGAGGACAAAAAGAAAGAATGGAGGCTAGGAGGACATGATGGGTGTTTCTGACGTGGGAGGGAAGAGTCAAGACACTCAGAAGGAGGAGAAAGGGAGAGAAGATGCTACCTGCCCAAGGTCAGGGGTGATGGCAAGAAGACAGAAACCCCAGACAAGTTGAGGGCACATCCCAAGAACACATGGACCAATGTTCTGCTTCCAGAACTATCCAACATGGCAAGAAGGAAGAAGTGTGGCACAGTGGAAGGACACATCCAGACAGGTTCCAGAGAGGCTGAAACGGCACAGTTGGCTCCCCACGGTGGGAAGTCCCTTCTATCTCCCCAGGGGAAAGAGAGATGCTAAGAGGACCAGAGGTCCTGATAGAAGCCTGACAGGGAGACCTCAGACAGCAATGACCTTAGACCAGAGCAAACAGCAGAGCCGAGAATCAGCAACGATAGCAGATGCCAGCTCATGGCTTAAGAGCAGGCAGGACCAATGACATCACCAGCCAATTCAGCAAGGACAGAGGTCAATCCCAAAAGCAAGGTAGATGCCCAAGGATAAAGCCAGAGTTGTCACACCATATTTAATAACTACTGCCTTTCACCACTGCCCCCGTGAGAAAATCTCCCCTGCACACAGATATCGTTTAGGAAGAGAAGTACTGAAAAACTAAGCATTTCTATTTCTCTCTCTTTCTCCTTTTTAAAGATTTTATTTATTTATTTGAGCTAGAAAGAGAGCGCACAAGTGCGCGGAGGAGTAGAGGGAGAGAGACAAGCAGACTCCCCCGAGTGGGGAGCCCGATGAGGGCCGATCCTAAGACCCCGAGACCATGACCCAAGCAGAAGTCAGACACTTAACCGACAGAGCTACCCAGGCGCCCTAAACATTGCTGTTTTTGGAATTGATGTTAGGGGACTGTTCTAAACCAGAGGAGATCAAGTGAGTGATACTGAGAGGGTTTAAGTTCCTCTAATACCCAATATCTGGATCGAAGCGAGGATGTCTACGAAAACATCTAAAAAACAATATCTCATTCTCCACATCCCCACAAAGAAGTGTGTAATTTTTGATTCTCACACAAAGTGTTTTCCATCCCATTAAATAATAACGAATCGCAGTGAGAAAGTTATTCTCTTTTCCATTCTCCTTTATAAAAATTATGGAGGGGGGCGCCCGGGTGGCTCAGTCGTTAAGCGTCTGCCTTCAGCTCGGGTCATGATCCCGGGGTCCCGGGATCGAGCCCCGCATCGGGCTCCCTGCTCGGTGGGAGGCCTGCTTCTCCCTCTCCCACTCCCCCTGCTTGTGTTCCCTCTCTCGCTGTGTCTCTCTCTGTCAAATAAATAAATAAAAATCTTTAAAAAAAAAAAAATTTATGGAGGGGCACCTGGGTGGCTCAGTTGGTTAAGCGACTGCCTTCAGCTCAGGTCATGATCCCAGGGTCCTGGGATCGAGCCCCACATCAGGCTCCCTGCTCAGAGGAAAGCCTGCTTCTCCCTCTCCCACTCCCCCTGTTTGTGTTCCCTCTCTCGCTGTGTCTCTCTCTGTCAAATAAATAAATAAAATCTTTAAAAAAAATATTGAATAACTGACAAGTACCAAAAATAGATGACATAAACATAAATTATAAAGCACCACAATAAAATGAACTGCATAACTTAAGAACAAAAACATCACCAGTGCTATAGGATTTTCCCCCCAAGCCTCTCTGTCAACCTCCAGAGCTAACACCATCACGAATTTGGTCTTTATCCTTCTCTTGATTTTCTTAAAATAGATTTAACACATATGTGTGTATATCTAAGCACGATTAGTTAATTTGCTTGTTTTTGAACCAAAAAACAAAAGTTTTCCAAAAGTATGTATTTTTCTGCAGCTTGCTTTTTTCATTCAAAATTAGGTTGCTAATATTCATCTCTGTTGTTGTGTATAACACAGGTCATCTGTTTTTCAGTGCTATGTAATATTCCACCATATGGCAATATCACTGTTTATTTTTTATTTCCTATTGATGGACTTTTGGGTTGGGTTTTTGGGTTTTTGCTGTTCTGAACAGAGCTACTATGAACATTCCCGTACAAGTCTCTTGGAGCCCACTTTGGAGAATTTCTCTAAACCAATTATTCTCAAAGCATTGGCTCTGGACTAGTATCACATTCACTTGGGAACCTGTTAGAACTGCATATTTTGAGGCCCCACTCCATACCTATTGAATCAGGAAACCTGAAAGTAGGACCTACCAATCTGCGTTTCAACAAGCACCCCCCCGCCCCGGTAATTCTGATGCCCACTAAAATTTGAGAACCACTAGCATAAATCTAAGAGTGAAATTCCTAGATTATAAGGACTGTGCATGTGCATATGCGTGTCTAACAGCCAGAGACTTAATGTTTCTGTGTCCCCCAAATTCATACATTGAAACATATTCCCCCAAGGTGATGGTGTTTGTAGTGGGGACTTTGGGAGGTGATTAGGTCATGAATAGGATTAGCATCCTTATAAAAGAGACCCCAGAGGGTTGCTTTGCCCTTCTGAAATGAGAGAACACAGTGAAAAGAGAGCCATTGATGAACAAAGATGTGGGCTCTCACTGGACACCGAACCTGCCCGTGCCT